TTCACCTCTCTATTGAAATAAATAAGAGGTACCTGCATAAAGAGCATAGAAGCCATTTCATTTACCACATTACTATTTCTGTGATAAATGAATCAATGTTTACATCTGCAGTGACTGAAACAATACATCCTTTAAGCTTTCTTCAAATAAATTCATTGACAATGCCAACAAGTCACTATGTATTTGGGGAAATAGAGGCTCAGACTATGCTACTCTTAAAAAATGAATTTGTTCCTGCAGCCTTGGCACAGCTAAATCCCAGCAGCCTGGGCTTGGCCAAGGAGAGCTGCACAGACCACAGCCAAGCAGGTAATGACTACAATGATTTCTGGAAGTTTAATGCATTTGGTAGTACTTAGGCTTTTTGCAGGCTCTTTCTGGAAAGAAAAAAACTTTTTTCATTGCTAGGATTACTGAAATAAGACTAGTGGGAGCAAGACTGTGTCGCTAAGATGTAGGAAGAAACATGGATTTAGCCAAAAGTTATCCAAGGAGAAGAATGGGAAATCAGAGATCCTCATTGTGGCAAGATGCTGAACAGTGTCCAAAATCTTCAACTTAAATTCATTAAATTCAGTCAGTATTAATTAATTACTTAATTACTTGACTACAAATTTTTTCTTGAATGAATATTAAAACTATCATGTTATTTATGATCAGACTTTCTGTTGTGTGTATTTTTCCCTCAACAGCTTTTAAAGTCAATGGTATCCTTTCTTCATCTCACTCTTGATTTCTATGTACATAAGTAAGGTAAATAATTGTATAGTCTTATATTCAACATGAAGAGTATTTGTAAACTTGAGCTAAGATGAAGTTAAATTCTACAGAAGATAAGTTACAATTTAAATCTTCATCTCCTAAGTTTTCCTTACCATGCATTAGCTAATATAAAGTGTTTTCCAGTGTTTAAGTGATCTGAAAATATAAATCTCTTGTTTTACAATATAATCTGTCATTTTCTACATTTTATTTAATAAGTCTTATTCTTCTGCAATGTAAATATGTTCTTGAATATATGGCTAGGATTATTCAGGCTGTTTTTGAGCTCATGGAATGCTAGGGTTAGAGATAGAGAGAGCCCTGTGCTCTGGGTTCTGTCAGCAGTACCCTGTGTTTGACAGCTGCATGTGGGAGAAGAGAGAAATGGGAGAAATGTAAAAGACGGGCTACCCCCAAACAGGAAAGGAGGAGGTGGGGGAAGAAGGGAGGAAGAGACAGAGAAGAGGAAGAGAGAGAAGGTCCCCTGTGAAAAGGGAGGAGGGGTGGGGAATGTAAGAAGAAAGGTAGAAAATGGAAGGTCTCCTTTTTTGGTTACTTGTATTTGAGGAAAAACCAGAGATCATACATTAAAAAGCATCTGATACGAGTGTATCATTACATTTCTTCAAATGCCTCATCTCTTTCTCTGAAAGTAAAGACCTGAATTTTTAAGATGGTGTTTCTTTAAATAAGAAATAGATAAAAATGTCTACTTAGTAGCTCACTGAATATAGTAAGAAGAAGGATAACCGCTATTTCTTAAGCAACAGACGCTTAATCTTTGATAATAAAGAAAATTTCCAACATATATTGTAAAAGATAAGTCAGAAGCAGTGCTTCAATGGAATTACATACCAGAATTTCCCCCCCTACCTTCTACTGTGATTATTGGATTAGATCCTTTCCTGAAAGGAAATGGGGGACTATAATGAAGTGCCAATACTCAGTTAAATGTGTAGTGGAAGAGCAGAGAGATAGAGGTGCATCTTGCTAGGAGCAAAGCACAGCACTGATACACCAGGTTTCAACACAGATACTCACTGCACAAATGCAGGAGGGCTGCTCAGCTCCTGAGGTGTGCTGGAGTAGCCAGCAGCTGGAATTCATCTACATCACAGGCTGCTGGGGCAGTACTGTTTGTTTTTGCTTGAGCTGCAAACTCCATTTTGTATTGTGTTTCACAAGTGCCTGATAATACACTGCCTGAACAGAGAGACATCAATCATAGTGTCGAACCAGTTTTGTAAACAAGGACCAAAACCTTTACTTAAAAGCAAGGAAAAGAAAAATAACTGGCTGAGGGGTGGGAAAGGAAATGGCAGCCTGCACAAGGATGATATTCTGTATGTGACCTAAGTCTGTCCTCAGTGCAATTTTAGCTTGTTGCTGGGTTTGTATACATTCCTTCAAAAAATTCTTACCTCACTGGATAACCTTGTACTTTTGCAGTATTACAGCTGGACTATGGCTCTTACTGAACAGTTCATGCTTACAGCATTACTACAACTAAGTACTTGTAAAACTCATGTTCAAAATATGCCAAAGATCTGCAAGAAACTGTTCAACAAAATGTTTGACCTAAACTACAGTTTTAATGAAATATTAAAGGCTCAAAGGTTCAAAATAAACTTCCCTCAAAGGCTCAAGAAGTGTAGGATAGAGCTTTGAGGAAATGTAGGATAGAGCTTGTGAAAATCCAGTCAAAACTTCGGTTTGGGATGCTCGCAGCCAATACAAGTAATTTAACAATTGTGCTTGTCCCACCTTTTTCTTTTTTTTCATCCCCCCCATCTTTGATACAGAAAAATAAAGTTAAATGAAAGAAAGAAATAAAATAAAGAAAAATGCCTTGGCATATTTTTCTGAAACTCAGTGAGAAAGGTTTTCTGAGCAGTTTAACGCTGAGCATGACAGATAGCAACTGAATTGTCTCCTAAGCTGTACCTGAGAGGTAAATAATCAAAAAAATTAATTATAGACTATATATATAGTAATGACTAGTAGTCATCATAGACTGGTTGTTTTAGCAAGAAATTATTCTTGGTTTTTTTTTTTTTTTCTGGTTTGCATCCAAATTCCATGAAAATGCATTAATATACAACATCATTGATTAACAGTCTTCATTAACCTTTAGCAACAATGTGAAAATTATAGGTGTATACACCTCTTTAATTAAGCATTTTGTTTTCTATTAAGTGCAATTCCTTCACATCTTACCAAATGACAGTATGAGGCTTAACAAACTGTCAGCATGTTTCTTAACACTCTAATTGTAATAAAATACAGCCATTATAAATGTCTGTATAATATCTGTGACTTCAACTGAAACGTTGCCACACAACTCATGTAACTGAGGAAAAAAAATTTAATTACTTTCTTTTCTGTTCATTGTTTTCCAGTTCAGGTAGGGTGAGGGTATAAGCTTTGTGTGCTTTCTCAAAAACTACAGGGAAAGCAACTAAGCAAACACTATGCATCTTTTACTTAAACAGTTCCAAGATTATGGGGTTATATGGAAAAATGCATATGAAAAATGTTAAATGGCAAAGCATTAAAAAATCAGACGGCAGCACAAGTTTGGGCTGTTCTGCCTCATGAACATATTTTTTTGTTAATATTAAGGGCAGAAAACTCCATACATCTATGACTTTCTTCTCAATTATCATTTTGAGGGAGAATCAAATTAGTGTGTTATCTGGACTTGCAACAGAAGTCTTTAGAGACCCTGTGCCACTGAATACTTCCATCCTCTCAGCAAACACTGTCATTTGTCTGCAAACACCTCACTAGCTGCCTCCTTAGAACGGTTTATAATTTGTGCAATTCCTACAGTTTACAGCTCCTTCTACTGATTAACCACCAATGTAGTATTTTATCATGAGTAGTTGCTGTCAGACACTACTGTCTCATTGTTTTGCTTTTGACTGTTTCTTCCAGGACCCAACAGCTCCTTAGGGAATACTGACTTGCAATACTACTGAAATACATATTTTTTAAAAACTCTTAGAATGCATTTAATTTTCTGGAGTAGATTTGTGAGAACCTTTTTTTCCCTAACAGAACCCAAAGCTGGATACAGTGTCCCAGCAGTATTAATACTGATGTTGTATTTGGACCTCTTCTGTTTATACATTCTAATTAAGACAGGGCTATTCTCTATAGAAAATCCATATAATTATATAAAATTCCATATCTGTATACACAGTAGTCTTTGCTAATTTGGCTTGTTTTCACAGACATATAACAGGTATCAGAGTAGTTCTGACAGAAATTTGAGCAGTGACCTCCAGCACTGTTGGATTTGCAGAGGATGTGTTCCTATCCATGCTCCTCCTGTTGAACAACTTTGACATGGCTTTCATGACTCATATACTAAATTTTTCCTTCTTGTGTTCACTGCCCAGCATTTTTTCTGTTGTAGACAAGGATATATCACATTTTGTTGTGTTTTTTTTTCTCCCTGTAGATTCACTAGAACCTATCTTCTGACTGTGCTCCTTGGTTAAGGCTGTTCAAACCTTGAGAACAACTTTATAAGCATGGAAAGGAACTGAGGCCATTTCTTGCGACATGGTTGCAGACACTGTTTTTTGGGTTTTTTTGGTCAACACCTGTGAACCCTCACCTACCTTTCCGTCACTGATGGATGAGGGAAAGAGACATGCTGCGGTACGGCACCACTTCAGTTTGCACTCTATGTGTAGAATATTCTGGAATCACCTTGTGATATTTCCAGTCTAGCTGACGTCAGTGTGAAAATCACCCAAAGTGCCCGAGGCACCAAGGTGTGCCCGAGGTGCTTGTGCCGCCGCTCTGGGAGCAGCACGGGCACGCTGCCCCGTTCGAGCGCGGCAGCCCCGCTCTGCGCTTCCCTCACCTCCCCCTCACGTCCAGAGGCGCGCCCGCCCTGCCCCGTCCCTGTGCTGCCTCAGCCCTTCCCGCCGGCCGGGCGGCTCGGCAGTCGCCTCCACACGGCGAGGGAAAACAACCCCGACTGTCAGGCGGCCTCCAGCCGACAGTACCCGGGCCCGGGGCTGGGTTTCTCCTTCAGAGGGCTGTTGTGGCCAGCCCGTTCCGTCCCGGCGCGGTTCGCCGCAGCCCGAGCTGAGGAGGAGCGGGGCGCCCTCCCCTCAGCTCGCGGCTGCAGGCGGCCGTCGGGGGGCCCCGAGCGCGCCGCGCGCTCCCTCAGAGAGACCAAAGGCCGTGGACAGGCGGGGACGCGGCGGGAAGCCCCGGGCTCACCTGCGGGACGCCCCCCGCCTGGCTCCTCCCCGGCCCGGCCGCGGCGCCCCCTCCCCCGCTGGAGGGGGCGGGCAGTGCGCGGTCGGCTCCGGCGGCGAGCGCGGCTGGCGGGGCGGCGGAGAGAGCGGTGTGGAGTTGGCGGGGATCCCCCTGCGAGACAGAGGCGGCTCGGGACGGGTGAGGAGAACGGCGGCGGGCGGTCTGGGAGGTGAGGGGGGCACCGCGTCGCCCGCTTTCCGTGCCGCGATGACCGGGACCGGGCGGGCACAGGACTGTGGCGCGACCGGACCGGAGCGCGGCGGGCACGGGAGTCGTTGCCGTGCGGTGCCGCAGGCGCTGCTGCCCGCGGCTGTGGCAGTGGCTCCCGGCGCCGAGGCGCCCTCAGCTCCGTTAAACACACGCCTTTCCAAAGGCCGAGGGGACCGGGCCCTCCCGGGCGTGAGGCGAGAACACGGCGGCTCTCCCCGCACGACCGGCGGGTGACGCGCGGGGAGCTGGCGGAGCGCCGGCCGTGCCGGGGCAGCCCTTCCCCCGGGCGCTCCTCGGGGCTGCGCCGGCGAGCGGAGCGGGGCCGCCCCCGGGCGGGGAGCTCGGCGGCCGAGCCGAGAGGGAGCTGCCGGGAGAACAGACTGTTCCCGGAGTGCGTCGTTTGCTCTGCGGCTGTCAGGAGCGAGGGTCTTTCCCCGAGCCGGGCCGGCCGCGGGCGCCCCGGAGCTGCGGTGCCGCAGCTGGAGGTGCTGGTGCCGGCCTTGGCGTCCAGGTGGGCGGGCGGGGCCCGGAGCCCCCGCGGGGCGCCGAGACCGCCTGCTCGCGCGCATTCCTCCGGGGATTCCTGGCATTCCTGGGCAGAGGGCACTCTTGACTTCTTTATCTCCCTTTTATTCCGCGAATTAGCGTATTTTTTTTTTTTTTGAAAGGGTGTGTCCGCCTTGTGTGTGTTCTTTTTCATGGGAAAAGTTTAGAATGGCAGCTCTGCCATTTGTTCTTCTTCCAATTAACTTTGCATCTGATATAATTTATATCCTTCGAATTTGATGACAACTTTATGGGGAGATCAGTACTGCGATAAAACTTCTGTGGTGAGTTTGCATTAGATTAGCAGTTGACAGAACGATTGTTGCGGATTTTATCTGTCCCTTTTTTTAGCATGCAGATATTTTTAAAAAACTATTGCAGTGAAAGCTGAATGATTATCAGAATAGAAATAGTGGGAACCTCTTGTTGAAAACTGTTCTGTTTTTCTGAATATCTACACTGTATTTATCTTGTGCAGACTCCTAGAAGTGAATCCTGTAGGTGAATCAGAAATCCCCATAGTGTGTCCTGACTTCTGGTACTCCCAGGGGAATTTGATAGATTCAGTGTCTGACACCTATGCTGACAACTGTCACATGTGTTGTAGTTATAAATCTCTTTATAGAGCTTGTTTTAACAGAACTTTAAAACTTATATAAAAATATAATTTAAATGGCAAAACCGAGCTCTTGTTTACTTTTTAAAGGTGTGTTGTAAGAACTTGTTTGGCTAGCAATTATACTTTCTGGAAGTGTCATAGTCATTGAATTGTCTTGGGTTTTTCTCTCATGTTAAACCCAGGAGAAATCTGCTTATGCTCACACTGTGTTCTAAGCCAGATGTGGTTACTGATGATTAATGTAAAAATGTAACAAGTTCTATAAGTTTTTCTTTGGTCGGTTGGTTTTTTTAATAATTAGTTTGAACTTGGGTCTTTTCTTTTGGAAAAAGATAATGAATTGAAATGAAAGTTTTCGTACAGCCTATGATTAAGAATGCAGTAAGCATTATGTTTTAGAAGTTTTTCATGTTATGGGAAGCAATTAAACTGCTTTTTATTTTATGTTATTAATTTTGAGACACAGCTACATTTTTAAAATAGAAAGCTCTGTAAAATAGGAAAGCAATGCTTCTAGTTTTTGTTAAAATTCTCTTAGGATATTAAGGTAATCTTTCACATAAGAGAAGATGGTTGTTTTTACCAGACAGTTGGTTGTTTAATATTAATGTTTTTTAAAAAAAATCTGAGATAAAAAATGCAGTGCTTCAAATGAAGTATCTTATAAAGCGACTGGTATTTTTACATGTGTGTTTACAACTTAGAAGTGTTTCTGAAATATGTTAATCATAGGAAAAGTATTCCTAGTTGGTTTACATACACCTTGAATTGCAGCTGACATGAACTGTTTCTGAATGGCACCTAAATGCAAATGCACACTACAAAGGTAACTAATGTTGTGACAGTACTAAAAAGGCCTTATATTGCTAACCCTCTTGTTTACTGAATTTGTGTTGATATTTCCAAGAGCCTGTCTACTCCATGAGTGTATCACACAACTGTTTGGGTTTTTTGTTTTATTCTCATTATCTGATTTAGTTACATTTTGCTTTTAAATCTAATGAATCTAGACTGCTTAGGCTGCTTGAATTGCCTCCAAGCAAACCAGCTTATTTTAATTTCTTTTAATTGCATTATTAGATCTCACTGTCATTACTAAAATGTCTGAGAAGGCACTTAGGTTCCCCTGGCAAAGTTTTTATGGGAGATGTGGAATTTAATTTTCTGCAGAAATTGTCATCCTTTTACTGAGGTAAAATTCCTTATACAGGACATCTTGTAGACTAAGTTGCAGAAAATAATTGGTGACAGTTCCTTCTTCTGGTGTACATTGTGTAATAGGAAGTTGATCTTTCTGGGACTATTGGTGAAACTGGTTTGTCTGGGTTCTGTAGTGTCATCTGAAATGTGCAGCTGAAACGACATGACCTCAAATGTGAGTTTTTAAGTGTTTTGTCATGGAGTGATGCAAGATGAACATATGTGCTATGTTTATTAATAAACTGCTGAGTTTATTCAGCCTGGATCATAGTGGGTAGGTTGTTATTTAAAAATAGGTACTGAAGTATTTTGAGGCCAAATAATTCTACAGATGCAAAAATGTAAACAAAAGCAGACCATCACAGTTTCGTTCTATAGTCTGCTGTTTTACTATTTCTGCTTTTTGAAGTCATAGTGATGATGATGTCATTATTAGAGCCTTTTTACTGTGGAGGTAACCTGAAATCTTATGTTAATACCAAGCACACAAGCTTGATTATGCAAAACAACATTCAGCCTATGGCAGCATCTACCTATGTTCATAGAAAGGAACTGCAAAGTATCTGCTGAAGATCACTGGTACTAATAGATTTCTGAGAAATAGAAAGGAACACTGAAATAATGGGGCATTTTTTTCACTTCTGCACCCTCTCTGCAACTCTGAATAGCATCAGAAATGTTGCAGCAACCTATTGCCCATGTGTTCAGATAAAGCAGATTTAAGAAATATGTGTTTCTTCTATCTGTCCCCCTTTTTATGTTTTAGAGGTAGGAGGAGGATATCTTCTACCTGATCAGTTCAGTGATACCATGCAGAGGCAGGCCTTGCAAGGAATTCCATCCTTACAGTATTGAGATTAACAATGTTTTGAATGGCCAGGATGAGATGAATGTGTTAGAACTTCTCTGATTTTGTTGCTAGGTCTCAACAAACTGCACAGAGGAAGGTGGTACAGACTTGACCCATCCTGAACTTAGGTCTGGTAATTCTGTTTTTAATGCATCTTGAATGATGTGTTGGGATGATGTGCAAAACACAATAAATAGAGGTGGTTTTTTTTGCTTTTTCTGTTTTTAATTGGCAGAAGAATGGAGAATCCACTCACTCACTCTCTGACCAGGTTAATGTATGAGGAAAGGCATTTCACGTGTCCATGGAGTGTTTATTCCAGGCATGTTTATCTGGAAACATGGACACATTTCAGAAACTGCTTTGACCTTGGCTCTGAATGGTGTTAAATCAAAATGGTAATATTTTTCAGTGCAGCCAAGTATGAAAATTTAATCTTAAACCCCAAAAATTGACATATTAAGAATGCATGTGCTAAAGATTTAGTGGAATGGTAGTCATGGAGTCGCCACTGTTTGGGATTAGAGCTCACTGTATTTTTTTTGATCTTGTACCATCTCTGCCAACATAGCTGGCAGCCTCCAGGGAGGAGTTTATCCAAAAGTAGGCTTAGAACCTTTCATTTTAGGTGAAATAAAGTGGATAGCAAGATTAATAACCAGACATTTTAGGTATATAGTTTCATTTTTTGAAGAATGCCTCTAGATTTTTAGCCAAATGAAATATTTTCATTTCTATTGGTTCATCTTTTTGTATTTATGAGTTTCATTAACCAGGCTGACAGTATGAGATTTGAAATTAATATTCTGTAATAACTTTTCACTTTCTTCTTGATTTTGGTAAAAAAAAAGGGAGCAATGAGGAGTAAATATGATTGGAGAAATGTCTCAGAAAGCACTTAGACTACAAAAAACCACCAGGGAGCTTGGTAAGTCTGGAAGATGCTGCAATTATTACCATGGTGGCCCCTTTCTTTGAGGGTCCCCAGGCATGCAGGGAGCCGTGACCATTCAGATATGACTCGCAGCAGTCTGAGCATGACCATATTTTGACTCCAGGCATTTGCAGCAATTCATAATACTTTAGTTGCATGTGCATTGCACACACCATTTAAAAGTAGCTAAAATGTGGACATGGAAGCTAAATCAGTGTGAAAAGGAGATGTGTTGTCTAGGCTGCCCATGCTTACATAGTCATACTGACATGTGTTTATGTGTTTCTTTGAGTGTATATATAAACTCTCATACACACTTGCAGAAGCCTGGTAAGTAATTACCAGCCTTTAGGAATGTTTTAACCCTATTCTGAATTCTGTTGAAAGATATCTCTAAGAACTGTTGGAGTTTATTAGAATGGGAGGTGTATTTCATGTACATAAAGGTTTGCAGAAGGGGGTAGTTATTTACAATCTGCTTCAACATAAGCATAATGCAGAAGCAGGGTGAAATGTAAGCTTTTATATAGAGATGGGGGAGTGTTTTCAGTGGGTAAATCAAGCTCAGTATATTTTGTTGGCCTTGTTGAAAATGGTTGGGATTTGCCTTCATACATTTATTTGCACAGGTTAGCTGTTATATGCAGGCAGCAAATGTTCAGCAGTAGCAGCCTTTATTTACAAGAACAATTGGCATGCAATGTTACATTGTAATTCCACGAACACTTCAAGCTTCATAAAGAGGCAGCCCTACCTCTCTCATTTCCCTGGTAATTATGCTGTTCCAGTGCGAAGGTGAGAAGTGTGGCAGCTCAGGGTAGCTGGTTAAACCTGTGCTTGCAGGACCCACACCAGGTCACTTTGGCTGCCCAGGCTTTGTAAGCCCTTCTAAGTGATTCAGTCCAGCTCCATGGAAGCTCCTTTCCTCTGTGGAGTTTTTGAACCTCTCTCTTCTACACTCAGCTCATGTCTCTCAGACAGTGTGATGATATCATCTTGTCTGGTGGGGCCTGGGCTCAGGGCCTGCAGTTCTGTCTGCATATTTAAATTTGAAAACGCATGGCTGAGCTAGTTGAAAGAAACTAGATGGGTGTGAAGCCAAGTGTTTAAGGGATACAATGTAATTAAGACAAAGTTTAACAGTAGAAAAATGGAAGGCATAACTAGCTTGAATACACATGAAGCTGTGGCCTTATGTTGGCTGTGTAAATATGACTCCTACAGCCTATTTTACATGTAGATTTTGCACTTAAATACTTGCATCTCCATAGAGATTAACCCTGCTTTGTGTGTCTTTGCAAGCAGCTGTACTCATAACTCGTTATTAATTTTGTTCAGGAATAAGTTACATGTATATAATCAAGGTCATGCAAGTTGCATCTGTTGGGTTGCTGTAAAAGTAGCTCCTGTAGACAAGATT